TTACTTTGTTTCAGCTTTGACACTGACGGTATTTTGATCTTAATACAGCTGTTGCCATTTCTTGAAGCATATTTTAAATATTAAAAGTCGGGCAAAACTAGATTCTTAATGAGCTGAGTTTTTTAAAGTATTTTTAAGGTGTTTAATAACATTCTTCCAAAAATGTTTGAGAAGCAAAGACTGAGTAAGATGTATTATAACCACTTACTATGGAGATGCACAATAATGTGAACAATAGAGTATCATAGATTCTGTGATAAAGTCATGTATTCATGTAAAAACAAAGTATAGGAATCTGGTGTTCTGATGTTGCTCTTTCTAATGCCAGTCAAATGCAAAACTACACAAGTATTCTTATGTAAATACTTACATTCTGAAATTAATCTTCTCCGATAAGTTTGGCCATTTATAGCAATTGACAGTAATATTATGGAAATAATTTAGATATTCTGTTTTAAAATGTAAAGGAATGTGAAGCAATAACTGAAGTGGTTGAATGAAACAGTTTGTGAAAATGCTAGACAAGTTCTCGACAGCTGTGGGTGCTGAAGGAAAGAGCATCATCTTAATTTATTCAGTATTAATAATAATTTGAAAGGTGAAAACATAAGAAAACTGGTTTTCATCTTCCAGTGGGTCTGGTGAATAATAGGTAGTTACGAAACGCTGGAGCCTAGAAGATGGAATTGTTTTTAAATATGTTAGATGGGTTGTCTGCGGTATCTGAAATACTCACCTGGACTTTTTAAAGTCAGCGGGGGTGAAATAAATTCTTCTAGAAATGGTCTGATGAATTCTATTTTAGGAGCATATTTCAAGATTAGTGTTGTCTACTAAATATATCCCAAGATGAAAGCGTCATTCTTTAACATACTTAGTTTTTTACGTTTTCCTTCTCTTTATGGACAAAATATTTTCAGTTTTGCGAAAGACTGGCAGAGGAAACGTGCAGGGTAGGAGTCACTGTCATTATTTAGTCGCAGTGGCATTTAAAATGGTTTATTGTGATAATGTAGATGTTTTTCTAAGTGTAGTGAGCAATCTGGATTGGAAGCGTATTATTTATAGAAGAGAAAGATGAGTTTAAAATATCAAATTACTCTTAAGCATGAACAGAGTTTACAAATGCCTAGGTTCATGTTTTTCTTCGGTGATATTAATTGGAAATTTTCAATTTACACCACTTGCCCGGATGTCTAGTTTGGTTCACTCACTTGCTTTAGGAATATACAAATGGAAGACTGAGATCCAGCAGTAGATGAAATATGGACGAGACTAATGAAATGAGCTTGGTCTCAATCTAGGCTACTTCTGCCAGAAAGGAGCACAGGCAATTCGTGGCTCAGCATGGGAGTCACGTCTGCTGAACACATAGCCTCCTGTCCCAGAAGAAAGCCATGTATGACTGAGTAATGCATCCTTTATTTGTTAAAATTGCAAACCTTGTTTTTCCTTAAAGGGCATGTTCAGTTTTGTGTGAGTGTTCAGGTACGGTTCAGCTTTATTTTTCAGCTGTGTTAAAAGAGTACGTTGAAAACAGTATAGTTGTTTCAGTGCCCATTTACCTTTGATCAGTGCTGCCTCGGTTTCATGACTCAGGAAGCATATACCCACACATCGAATTTTCCCAGGTGCGTATTATGGTGCAGCAAAGGTGTGTATTCCAGGGGTATATTATGGGTGCAGCAAAGAAAATGAGTCCCAATGCCACTGATTTTCCACTGATAACTTTCTTCTTACCTGTGCTGGAGTGCATTTTGCATTGTTTCTGATTCAGTTCTAAAATCAGATAAGCAGAGTGACTTTTGCATTAATAATCTGCTTTAGTCTGGTTTGTTTCATCTGATGTTATAGCAAGATCCTGCTCAAACCCGAGGAAACGGTTTCTTTTGTTAGCTGTGGTTTGAGATGGTGATCTTGCAGCGCGATCTCCTCTCCTGAATCTGTGCTGACTGTCTCTGGGCAGGCTATGTATATACACTTGTTCAGCTGTTTGGTTTGCAATCAGTGTTTTGGGAATCTTTCCAGCTTCAGAGGTTAACTTTCAGGTATGGGATTTCCGGAGTGATTTTTAAAATATTTTTTTCTTTTTAACTTTCCCCTCTCCTATCACTAAATTATTTAGTGGGGTTTGTGGAACACTAGGAATTGTGTTAAATTCTACCCTGGAGTGTATCCCTTGAGGTGGTATTAGTTTGGGGGTTTTTTTCCACTTAAATTATACGTTTGTGGTTCATAATCTAATTTGCACTTTCAGGCATGATGACCTAGACTTTAAATTACACTCAGTCCTTGATGAGACGTGGCAGTAGCCAGAAGGGATGTAAAAGGTCAGTAGAAGGGCGAGAATTTACACCAAAAGGACCTACTCTTTTAATAATAGCTTGTTTACTCTTACGTGTGCTCGGCTTTGACAGCTAGTGTGTGTACGGTAGGAAGGTTCCACAACCGGGTAGAGAAAATCAATAATACACCATTTTATGTACTAGAGCAAAAGAAGGACATGCAGGGTGAGGTGATGCTATTGTTTGCCTTAACTCTTTGATGTCCAGCATTCCTCATCTTGGCCTGAATTATGAAAGTGAATGATCTAAAGAGACTAATTAATTACTTTACCACAAAGGAAGCTGAGGGAAGTAGATTACAATTTTGATCTCTGTACAAAAAGGTCTGTGTGCTACTTGAATTAATCCCTTGAGTACCTTATGGTTTGCAGTATGTCCAACAAAAGGGCACTTGTTTCCTTATGAAAACACACTGCGCATACCAACCTTCCCCTGCCAGAACTGGAAGTCTATTCAGGTTGCTGATCAGCATTTCCCTCTAGTGTTAGCGTTTAGTCACCTATTAGTTACTAAATACTATAATGTGGTCTGTGTGTTTCTTTTCAATTGAAGTAAAAAATGAATTGTTGTAGCTGTAAAACGCCCAGGTTAAAATACATAGAAATAATTTGTAAGTGTTCAGTATCAGCATGTCTTATGCAGCATGATCAAGAAAGCTCGTCTTCACTCTTCACATGTGGCTGTATGGTAGATCATCCCCTAAAGTAAAACTTCAAAACCCAAATCTTAGGCTCTTTGATCTCTGAATGACAACAGAAGTAGAGAGTATGTGTCAGAAGAGGGTGTCCTGATGTGTATCACTGAAAAATGCAAATTATTCTGTGGGTAACAAGTGGAGACGGGTTGTATATGACTTCTCATCTTTCCTCCGTGGCTCTCACTGGTGAAGTAAAGTCGTGTCCGAACGTGGCGACCTGGTGACCTTTTCCCTTAGATTTTTTTTTTTTTTTTTTTTTTTAAGATACACAACCCATCCCTACCGCACGGTGCACAGATCCCTCCCTGAGACATGGGCTGTGGCTGGCTCTGAACCCTGACACGTGCTCCTCCTGTGCTCTGCCTGCCGTGGGGCGTTCGTCTGCTCCTCTCTGCTTCCCTGGCTACAGATTTCCCACAGAACGTTTGGAAATCCAGTCTCTTTGGGACTGTTGAGACCTACTGGCCAGTTTCAATCAAGAGTTACTGTGAGCACATGGGATGTACATATGGACATCACAAGCACACCATAATTGTCCAAGTCTCCTTTTCCTAGGCAGTGTATCTTAAAAGGATACTTGAGGGTTTTGTATCTTTTAATTTTTTGTATTTTGTATCTTCTAACTTTGTGTTGTCTTCTTACCATCAGCCTCTGCTGCGTGAGCATAGTTATAGCAAACTAATGACTTGTTCCTTACGAGGTAGCACCTTGTATGTCCATGAGGAATAGCACTGTATTAACATAGAAACACAGCCCTAGTCATCATGCTTTTTAAGAAACAAATAAATACCCCTTCCTGTCAACCGTTCATGAAGAATTACATCTTTTATCAGCAATGGTGTTCACATTTTATTATGCTGACTCCCTAGCCACATCAGGTGCTGGTTGCATCTGTCGGTTTTCCCCTAAAAGCTTGCACTGTAAAAGTCTGCACTCTTGCTTCCTTGTGCTCCGACTTGCTAGAGGCCATGTGCCTTCACACGTCCATCTTTTCTCTGTAATAGAGCACGAAGTCTGTTTATGCACTTTCATATTTTTATTATCCTTAAGATATCTGGAGAGCTGGAATAATTAAAATAAGGTGCTATTTCTTTGGAAGCTACTAACAGTGTGTTGTTTGTTCTGGCAATAGTGGTGTTGGTTGGTGAAACTGGTAGCTCTGCGAGCTCTGGAGGTCTGAAATAGTTTCTCCTCTTACCATACAACCCCTTGAGACTTTTCTACTTTTTTTTATATTTTTCCTTTTTGGTAAAAATTTGGACAAATCAGATGAAGTATTCTCTAGCTCTTACCCCATGTCCAAGCGGAGATGCCATCATTTTAAGTCTAAGGCTTTGCAACCTCGTCCAAAAGTTTGAGAGCTGAAAGTGTTGAGGAAAAACAAGAAAACTTCTGAAATGGTATGTGTGTGGCATCTCCATTTAAAACATTGCCAATGATTCTCTTAAAAGGAATAAAAAAAAAAAAGGGGGGGGGGGGAAGGTAATTGAATTTCATTTGAGAGTACTACACAAAACTTCATCATTTTTGGTATCCAATCTACAACAATATCCTCCTGTGTTAGGTAGTTAACTGAAATCCAGAAGTTAAATAACTTGTTAAGATCGATAGGAAGTAATATTCTCATTTGGGATGATAATAGGAGTTCCTGACTTTGGTGTTCTGCCCCAACAGGTAGAGCTATCTATGTAAAAATTACTTAATTTCAACATACAGTTATTATTGAACTGTAGCGTGACGGTCTTCGTACTGATTCTAGAAATTCTCCTAACTCCATCCTTGTTCCTTGTATATTATGAAGTATTGCTTATAAAGTAAATGGAAATATTAGTAGGCAAATAAATATTTTTTAAAAAATAACTATAACAGAAAAAGATGCATGGGATTCGAAGCTGGTCTCTCAAAATGAAGCTGGTGCATCTTGGCCCCCACATGACTAGAAATACCTAACACTCCTCATGCTGGCTCTCTCACCTCTGTCTGATGCTGTTAGCAAAGTGAAGGAGGTCTTTGGTAATGTGTAGGAGCTGGGATGTTGTGTGCCATGGGATATGTGCACGTGGCGTTACCCTACAACAAAAATTAAGGTTACGGAGCAAAGCACGTATCAACTCCTTAGCCTTTACTTTGGTTGAAAAGGAAGTTGATAAATTTGCTTTTGAAACAGTAAGTGGCTGACAGAAGCAAAAAACGGACCAAAGTGAATACAGGGGATTCCGTGAAACTGCCGCTTCAAAGATGCTTTCCATAAACCATTCAGTTGTAATTTTGTTTTGTCTTGGAATTGGAGTTAAATAGTTTCAGTTACAGATAGCTGTTCTTGTTTTGTTCTTGGGGACTGTTTGTATTTGGAGTCAGAGCTAAAAAAGAAATAAAATTTTTCTCATTAAAACACAGATTGAAGAAAGTTAAAATTATGTAATTCCTGCACGATATGCCCTGCTTTCTGTGTCTTTCTTTGGCCTCTGAAGTACTCCCGACACTGATCATACTTGTCCTTTCTTGAGAACGTTGGTAGTAACAGGATGGCCTGAGCGTGCTAAAGCACCGGCTTGCTTCAGAGATGGACAGAAATGCTACCCTACTGAATTACCTTCACTGGCATCTTCAGGGCTCCGGTTTTCTGCAGAAGTCTACAGTTACAAATAGCGGGGAAAAGAATGTAGGCAGGAGTCTGTCCTTTAGTTAAGGAAACGTAATGCTTTTTATTGTGAAGGAGGAAATCATCTTGGGGTATTCCTCTTCTCCCAGCCTACAGATGCTGCAAAGACCATCATCTAGTGTGGTGTGCAGAAAATCAGTGCAGATCCAGAAAATACAGACATGATTTTTAAGATTCAAATTGAATTTTTAATTTTAATTATACTGAAATTGTTATGACGCAAGGGTTTTCTTGATCTCTCTTTGGGGTGTGGGGTTTTTGATTTTGTGGAGGTTTGGCGTTGTTTTTTATGTCTGCTGCGGCATTTTTCATCATTCTGAGTGCCGTTTTGTCCACATTTCTTATTTCAGTAGTGGTGTTCGCTTAGTTTTTCATTGTGATTGTATTTTGTCAGTTTTCTTTTCTGACGGGCCGAACCGAGTAAAAGCATTTGTGAGTACTCTAAAATGTGTCACTGCTAATTGTCAAACCAAAACTGACTATGGGCCTTTTTTATCTTTATCCTTTTTTTGAGAATAAAGACCAGTTTCTTCATGATGAAGTTTCATCTTCAGTGTCACAACTTGCAGCAAAGGTAAATAACTGTTTTTTGGAAGTGTAACATTTTATGTCATGTATATTTCAGTCAATGTGTGTTAGGAAGTTACCTGTTTTTCATGTAAAACCTGATTAAGGAGGATATTTATGTACTTCCTTGATGGTATTATAATTACGAATGATTGTTGGTCATGGGGTTCTCATTGAAGGAATCCTAGCAGTGCAGTATTAGTTAGAAAGCTGCCTTATTTCCTATCATTAATGGAGAGGAGAAGGTATTTTAATTTTTTTTCTTCCACATGATAGTTATTAAAACACAAAATGAAAATAAGAAGCTGCAGGAATAACTGAAGTGAAGTCTAAGGAAGCACTAAATTCTAGCTGTAACTGGCAATGAAAAAATGAACAGTAGAAGGGATTTGCATTATTTATTCCATTATATGTAGTTCGGCTGGCTCTCTGACCATAGGAGGTTAGGAACTTTATCTCCTATCTCCTTCAGAAAAGAAAAGTCTGCATTCAAGTTAATTCTTTTTACCTTGATATGGGTCCAAGAATCTTTTTTAATGTTCTTAAAATACATTAGTAGAAGATGAAAGAACTGGAAGTTGTTACGATGTGCTGGAGCTTGTTTTGAAATTCCATAGGTATAGAAAAAAGCATTTAAGAATAGGTTCATTAGTGTAATAGGATACCTTACATTAATATGTATAAACTGAACTTCTGTCTCTGTTGCTTCTTTTTGTTCTACTTCAGATGCAGCATGACTTTCACTGAAAACAGAAGTCAGATTGTACTTACACCTTTTTCTACTTTTTAGAAGAAATATGTTCTTCTTAAGAAAACATAAACCAGATGATGAATGTTAAATCTTAAAATTAATTTATTTTATATTTAAGCCTTTTTGCCCCTTACTTAGTCATTCAGGAAGGCTTGCTAGGTATGTATTTTGACTTAAAAAAAGAAAAAAAGTCATCAGGCAAACCACCTAGCTGCAGTATTTTTGTGTTTCAAGGTAAAACTCCCTTGTCTTAAAAATGTATTCCCAAAAAAGCACCTTATCCTTCTCATCTTTTGTTTCTTTACTATTGTTACCAAAACAGCTTCTGTATTTTATTTGGTTTTTCTGTCCTCTTTGAAGCTGTCAGTACAGTGATATTCCAGAAGTTCCAAAATCTTTATGAAGTTAATAAAAGGCTGATGAGTTATATGTGTGGCCTTTTCAGTACACACATGTCGTGAATAGAATAGTCTCCATGTTGAAGCAGCATGGTGAAGAACAACAAAGTTTGTGAAGAAAAGGGCCGTGGATGAAGGGAATGACTGCCCTTTAGGGAGACAACCTTCCTGGTCGCTTAAAGCCCGAGTTTTAAGGCAGTCCTGATGGCCATTTGCAGAGGAAAGCCTTTGGCCTGGGTCTGGAGGTGCAGCAGTGGGACCTAGTCCTCAGGGCTGGAGATGGAGGCTGGAAAGTGGTCTTGGTTTCTGCTCGTGTAGGAGGCTGCCCGCGTGGCAGTGAGGACAGGCTAACTGCAATGCTGATTTTTTCCAGTTCCCTCTTCATGGGTCTCCTGAAAGGCAGGTGTGGCTGGTTAAAAACCCTTGGGACATCTCAAAGTGAGGAACTGTGACCCCTGTAGTGCGCCGCAAAATGGAGAAGTCTGGAGCCCGTCTTCACGCCGCGCCAGGCCCTTTGGCCTCTGCCGAGCCCACCTTGGGGGTCTCACCTGCATGCTGAGCCTCCGTGTTAAAACTACAGCAGAGGCTTCATCTGCAGGTGTTACTAGGACAGCTTTCGAGAAGAGACAGAGTTTGGAGAAACAAACTAAATCATTTTTAATAACAGAAGTGGAGATGTTGGGGCATTCTGGTAGGGCCAGATCCTGGCGTTTCAGCTCACACGCGCCACAGGATGGAGTAACCTTTGGTCTGCACACCAGCGGCTGGTCGAGTTGTGAAATTCTGCCCTCCCCGTGCTTTGAGATCTGGAATTGGATATTTGTAAGGGTTTGTTTTTTTTTCACTTTCTGTTATTTGAGTGCTTGCATGTTATGAATAGGTTTCCTATAATGTGGGAACAACGCTTCTTTAATTAAAGCATTGGCATTTTTTTGTTATAAAGCACTTAGCTGTAACTGTATTGAACTGTAAGGTACTTATATGGAAAATTCCATCTCTAGCTTTTTATTTTAGGCTCATTTTTTTCAGGGGGAGGAGGGAGGGAAGCTGTAGGACAAACAATTGTTTCTCCTCAGTCAAGGTTGAGAGGAAAATCCGTTCTTTTTGTTTACGTTTATAAAAAGTTTATGCAAGCATTTTGTGGAATGCCTTTATGCGGTGGAGGGTTTTGATTCACCAGTTGTCAATTTCTGAAAATACTTGTGGAAGTTTCCTAAACTTGGCTAAAATATAAATTTCTGGAAATCTCATTTCATACATGCTGAGCAGTGACTTTTTAGGGATTAGCTGCTTAACTACACAATGGCATTGAACGTGCTGATTCTCACTGCACGTATACAGCAAGACTCCCCTGTAATTGCTCTTTCTGGTTACTGAGACTCTTGTTATGTGGCTGCTTGTAGCCGCAGAAAGTGATTTCTGCACTCCAGAGCCCTGCTGGCAAGTAGAAAAGTCTGACTGGAATATATTGAAAGTACTGGTACCTGCTCATAAACCAGTACCATTTTAGAATCAGAGCAATATTCGAACATACTTGAATCTCTTGCTTTGAAATGTAAACTGTTTGTCTTGTGCCTGTAACATAGCATCCCAAATCCTTGCTGTTATTCTTTGACTTGACTGAATTCTGTGCTTTTTTCCCGTCCCGTAATTAGTCTTCGTCTATATTAATCACATCCATTCTGATGGATGGATTTAACTGTTTTCAGTTAAATTTACACAGTCTTCCTCTTCAATATATGTTCATGAGTATCTGCATACTTTTTTGTGCAATGTACTTTTTAAATTTGCTAGTAGGCAAATCTACTTCTTTAGTTTATACCCAACTGTTTGTATTCCTGGCTTGTTGCCTTTTTCATGAACCTTCTTGCCTGCTAGTGGAGCTTTAATGATGAACTATGTACCTTTGACAGTAAAATTCACTGAAAATTCTTCTTAGTGATGCTTTATTGTTTCCCAGTAGACTCTACAATTGTTCATTTATTACTCATTGCCTGTTTACCTAGTATGGGAAGCTGAGAGTCATGTAAATCATCAAGATTTGTTGATGTGGTGAAAAATGGTATACCTAAAGTCACTTTTGGTAATAATACCTCTCAATTTTGTAGACTTCCAATTTAAGAGGAGCTGTCCCTTTCTGGGGCACTTACAAAGTTAACTATCAGTAGACGTTTGTTCCCTGTTTGATCTAAAGAAAGAAAAATTGTAGTCAATTCATATACAGTTAATTCACTTGAATCAATATCGGTAACAAAGCAGAAAACCCTTACTGTAAGGACCGAGTGTACAGAGTGAAGCTTAGGGGGTGAGTTTGGGGAAGCCATGCTGGATGTACAAAGCTGCATGTGTGGAAGAAGGTGGACAGATGACTGCAGCTTTCAGAGGGTGCTTGAGCTGATACAGTAGGTGCTGCTACAAAAAAGATGCTATTGCCCCTAACTTCCACATTCTTTGGTGACTGTCTGACTCTGATGTCTTTTAATGAGCTGATTCTTATCACTAACCCAAAAGAACTCAGAAAAGGAATGAGTGAGTTAGATTTCTGCTGGCTTAGTGAGTTGACTGACTTGACCCTTTTCAGCAGCAGTGTCTGACAGACCAGGTCTGCCACCTTGTGAAACTTCTCTATGGGAATCTGTCTGACAGATGGGTGCCGATACTGAAGCATCAGCAAAGCAGAGGGGAGGGGAGTGAGGGAAAAAACAGCAGACAGTTTGGCTGGGGATACAGACTGCATCCTTTACACGATGTCCTAGAAGTGACTGCTTGTACTCCCAGTTTCAGAAGACAGGCTAATTAAATGGCAGCTTTCTCATGGCAGAGAAAGAGTACTTTGTAAACTGGAATTTCCTCTCCTGAAGGGGAAGAATCAGTGCTCTGGGACTGAGCATTTTAGATGCCTGTTGGGACAGATGATGATGGTGGGTTTTGTGTAGTCTGCCAGTGGATGGATTAAAATGCATGTGTAATTTCATGTCTACTGATCCTTTCAGGTGATTGCACAGATTTTCACAACCTAAAATGGAAGATATGGGAGAAACTTAATAGCTGTTCCGATAGGCATACTCTGTGCTCTCATAGTCAAAATGGTATGAGACCACTCTGTAATCCTACTTCACAGAATACTGAAATGGCATCTTGAGAAGTTTCTGCTTTGTTTCTCATTGACACTTTTGAAAAAATAGTAGACTGCAGCATCCAACCTGGTCCTCTAAAGGTTTTGACTTTCTAACATCTTATGTTAAAATTCTAGTCCTTCTTAATAGTGCTCTCTTTTCTTAGCAGTCCCTTATGGGCATTTAACTTGGTATTTTTTGTTCTGTTTTATTTTTTTTAACCTAGAGTTTTAACTGTACACCTGGGTCTATTGTAGTAGTATGAATCAGCTTTGATTTTTCAAAGATGCCCTCCTCCAAGCTCAAGAATAGCCCATCCCGTCAAGCAGAGATAGAAGCAAAGGTGACAGGAGGTCTGTCTGCGTGAACAAGATGTTCATGAAAAACCTCAAACATAAAAAGGAAGCATACAGGAGGCTGAAGCAAGGTCAAGTGACCTGGAGGGACTGTGGAGACACTCTCTGAGCATGCAGGGATGGGGTTAGGAAAGGTGAGCCCACCTAGAGTTAAATCTGCTGAGAAAATGAAGAGCAGCAAGAAAGGTTTCTGCATGTACACCAGCAGCAGGGAGGGTGTAAAGAAGATGGAATCTGACTCTTCTTGGTGGTGCGCAGTGAATGGGCAAGAGGCAGTGGGCACAAATTGAAATAGAAGAAATATAATTTAAACATAAGAAAAAATGTTTTCACCATGAGGGCGGTCAAGCCCTAGCGATAGGACGAGGGGAAATGACCTCAAGTTGCATCAGGGGAGGTTTAGATTGCATATTGGGAAAAATTTCTTTACTGAAAGAGTGGTCAGGCATTGGAACAGGCTGCCCAGGGAAGTGGAGGTGTCCCCATCCCTGGAGGTGTTCAGAAAACGTGTAGATATGGCACTTTAGGACGTGGTTTAGCAGGCATGGTGGTGTTGGGTTGATGGTTGGTCTTGGTGATTTCAAGGGTCTTTTCCAACCTTTATGATTCTGTGATTCTGAGCCCTGGCACAGGTTGCCCGGAGAGGTTGTGGATTCTCCAGGCGTGGAGATGTTCAAAACCCACTTGTACATGATCCTTGGCGATCTGCTCAAGCTGACCCTGCTGTGAGCAGCGTGGTTGGACTAGATGGTCTTCAGAGGTCCCTTCCAGCTGTAAAGGCTGTGTGATTCTGTGAAATTTGGATGTTGAATCAGTTCTTTTTCCACTGACACATGGAAAAATACATAAAAGGTTTGAGAACACAAGCCAGTCAGTTACGTATATAAACTTTGCTGAAAATTTTAGGAGTAGTACTTTGAGTTTTGTGCAAGAGTTACATCATAACAGTGAAACACAGAGCTTCTGAAAGTAGCTTGACGCTTTAAGATCATATCAGTACTATATTTTCACACTTTGCATAACCTTAATATTTTTACATAAAGTAAATCTCTGGTGTGGTGAGGAGTCCGCTTTCCAAAGTGCCATCTCTTCTTTACTTATCGATGTTCCTTTGACATCCATTGCAAGGAAGCTAATTGTTCCGGGATCCAGGTCCTTCTCCATGTGCTCTGTAAGAATGTAAGAAATTCCCAGTTGATTCAGAGACTGGCCTGTCTAGTCTGGCAGTCTGTGGCCACGGGAGAGATGCTGTTCAGGGGGAGCATAGCTTGGCCGGTTTCTAGGGCCTCTTCCCCTAACATCAAGATAAGTTGTTTTGAGATGTTAGAGGGTTCATCCCTCTAAATAGAGGGTATCCAGTTATGGATCTGCCGTCTGATTTTGTCTAATCCTTTTTGTGATGGTTCCCAGCATTTTTTGGCTTTGCAGCTGCTGTGTGTCAAACTGATGGTTTCAGAGAATGGTGACTTCAGGATCTCCTTTCAGAGAATGGTGACTTCAGGATCTCCTTCCTGAGCTGTTCCTACCAGCAGGTACAGCTGTGGCTGTTCCAGCTGCATTGCTGGTGGCACTTGTCTGTATGTTAAAAGTCTTTAAAGAACACTGAAAAGAAATACAGAAATGCAGCAGGCTGGTTTGAGGGATTTTTCTAGTATGTGACAATGTTACATGACAGCCGTAGTCAAAAAGAAAGGCTGTTGTCTTAAACAGTTCAGTAGTTAGAAAAAAGCTTCTGGAAGTGCGAAAGAAGTGTTTGACCTCCTCCTTTGCTAAGGTTTATATTCTTAAGTATGGTGCCACTGAGAAGGCTGTTCGCTCCTTTTCAGTTGAGTGAAAAGGTGCTTCAGAAGATCAGCGCTGGTGCAGGCAGGTGTAGAAAAGGAGGCTTAAGTGTGGTAGGCAGAGGTGCTGGTTTTGCTCTTGCACTGACGGGATTTCTTTCAGCCTAGTCCATTTAATATGCAGTAGGCTCTGTGCAATGAGTTTTATCACATATTAGCAAAATACGGTCTACTCGGACATTGATGCTCTTCTGTAGAGTATCCTGGCAGTGTTTCCTTTGGCAATCCCAAATAAAGAAGTGGTGGAACTATGTCTTAAACGTTTAGTGTACATTTCCCCTAAGGACTAGTTGAGAGAAGAATAAAGCAGTTACAATGTGCTACATGGTTATTATGCTTGTATGTACCTACCAAATGCCTTGGATCCATTGTGAGAGTACTTGTTTACGAAAATATTGAAGGAATGGTACAATAGGTACATAAGTACTGATTTACATACAGGTAGAAAGAGTGCAGAGTTTGTAAATTTTTATCCGGAGACCTGCACACACTACCTGCTTGACACTGAATAGAACTTTTCTAATGGTTGTTTGTAAAGACATCTGTAAATCAAAATTTGGCTTAATGAAATTAAATTTAGAAATATCTAAAGTTAAAATATGGAAAGCTAGATATTAACAGGATTTTATTATGAAATGGCTTTGGGATGTGGTTGATATGTTTGTTCATTTGTTATTTCCGCTGGAGGATTGCTTGGGTATCCAAAACAATGCAGCAAAGGTTGGAGTTGTATCGGTGAAGTATGTGTGATGTTCTAAAAGAAGGTCTATGGGTAGGTGTATCCTTTTTAACATTGAATGTATGTGTGTGTATAAATGCTTATCTCCAGATAGTCTTTCATCAATGCTGTTCTTTAAAGGCGCATATAATTTAAGTTAAGCTAGTTCACTGTACTAAGTTGCTGCCTGAAAACCAGTAACAAGATGGTGGTGGTTTATTTTTTTTGATCTGCAGATTTATTATGTGGCAGTGGCTAGATGAAACATCGTTAGTGAAGAAAGACAAGCTTATATATAAATTAGATCACTGAGGTATATTTGGATCTTTTTCCAGTATAAAGGCCTAAAAGATTAAGAGTTGTTATGTGTTGCTTTTAGCTATGGGTTTGCTTTTTGTAGCAAAGTTCCTTCCCAAAAAGGCCTGAAATAGTAGAATGGAGTAAGATAACAGAAGATGAAGGATTTTTTTTTAATGTATGAAAAGCTAAGTGCTTTCTGGAGTTTCTCTCTCTTTCTATTTTTTTATTGCTTTTTTTTTTTTCCTTCTTCTTTATTTCTTTAAACAGAGTACTTCCTTCAGCAGCTAACTTCTTGGAGATTCTTCCTGTTTTTGGAAGTTTGTTGTGGATGAAGTACTTTGCAGTGAGAGGAAGCCAAATTGGAGTAACAAATCATCATGTTGAACTTGTTAAAGAACTGAACAGCACAACAGAAACAGATAACAGGATTAGGCCTTTGTAGACTAAAATTGAGGGCTTAGACCATTATTTACACCACAGAAACATTAAATGTTGAGTACAGCCTGCAGAGGAGGATAGTTTAAACACAAGGATTTTGCATAGCGAGGTATCAGTTGGAAGGTGTCATCTGGAGCTTGTCTGGCTTTGTTTTATACAATCGACAGTCCAGTCTTCTAGGAGATGGGTATGGTGAGTCTGCCGCAGGGACACAAAGCTGAAATTAGCTGTCTGTATATTTTTAACATAATTAAAAATAGAAAGCGTATGTTTAAATTAAACATGAAAGTTTGCTTATTATGATCTGTACTCACTTTATTCTCATAGTGGAAAAAAAAACATGTGGAAGCTGTTGCTTTTCTTGTGAAGCCATGAGGAATGCTGTGGTCTGTGGTGAGATTAGACGTGGGTTTGGGAAGAGGTGAGCAGAGCAGTTGCGGAGGCCCGGGTTGTGGTGAACCTAGCTCTCATGTATCTAGTCTGTCCACATCCCATGAATGAGAGCTGGAATTGCTCTGGGCTTGCTCTGCCTTCCGTCTTCAGGGTTCTCCAGAGCTTTGCCCAAAGCTGGATCCGTGTTTGTACCTAACCAAAGTGAAACCGAGTCTGGGTTAGACCTTCCTCCTGATCCTAAAAGGGACCTGCTACGTCCCCCGAGCTGGAGTAGCTGAGGCGGTTCACATCTGAGTAGGGACGGCGGGTGAGAAGTGAAGGTGTAGGACATAATGAAACAGGAGGGCACAAGATGGAAATACTCCGTGACCAGCGTACGGTAGCAAGGGAGCTGTTTTACCCCTGTAAATGGTAGAGGCGGTCGGTCTCTGAAAGGTGAGGAGCTGGCCGTACCAGTATTTTCCTATCTGGTGTTTGTGCTCAAGTCGTAGGTGATGTTTTACGTGTTTTAAGGCCCGGATGTAGCAGTTATAAACTGTAATCAGTTAGAACCTATATGTAAAATTGATACTAATTTGCACCGATGAGTTCTGCAATAAGGATGAAGCATAGTAAAAGGTAATGAATTAGCCTTTGCTCGTGTTGACAGCTACAATTTTGCTTTGATTGTTTATTATACTTCGTAATGTACTGTTATATTTTTTAATGTAATCAAGTAACACTGATAGACTGTCACTCTGCCATTCTTACTAGACCCTGCGAGAGGGAACAGCAACTTTGATATTCTGTGCTCAGCACGCATGCGTGCATTTCCGTTAGAGTCCCTAAGCTTGCTGTCTAAATAAAAATAACCAATACCTATTTTTTTCACTTTGGGGGAGCTTTTGGGGGAATCAAACCTTTAATAATGTTGAAAAAATAATTTATGCTACATGTTTAATGCTCGCTGTAAATTTACTGACCACACTGTCGTGCACCGGTGCCACAGGCTGCCCAGGGAAGTGGTGGAGTCACTGTCCTTGGAGGTGTTAAAAAAACGTGTAGATGTGGCACTTCGGGATACGGTTTAGCAGGCATGGTGGTGTTGGGTTGACGGTTGGACTTGATCTCAGGGGTCTTTTCCAATCTTAGTAATTCAGTGACTCTATGTTACATTTCACCGGTGAGCCAACGCTCTTACCCTTCTTGCTTGTGGGGCCACAAGCAGTAGCTTTGGTGAGTTAAACACAGGAACAATGAGTGCACAGCAGGTAATGTCTCAAGAGTTTCACAGTTCAGCTGGCTGCCCTGTCTGTTGCGGCCCCTTCTAGCAGCGACCGTTTCATTTCTGCCTACCGAAGCCCCTTAGACAGATTCCTAAGCGGCCCAGATCCCCCCTGTGCTGTGGTACGCTGGGACGGAGCCGGCCGAGCGCCCAGGAGCCCAGCTGTGCTCACTGACATCGCCTGCCAGCCTCTGGCAGCCGGCAAGGTTTTGTACTCTTTGCTCAGTGGGAAAGAGCTGCTTGGAGCAGAGGAGCTCCCAATTGCTGCAGT